TATGAATATGAATCATTATTAATATGCTGCAACACGTTTCCCCTAACCACACTGAAACATATTCCAAAAAGCAGAGAAGTTGATGAAGGATGGATTCCATCCACCTTGTACATCTTGCCATCAGTCCAAGCCCTGCAGGTGCACCCCTCCCCCGTACCTGGAATTAGCACCCTAGCACCCAGAATCCAGAGAGGAGTTAATCTACGCACTCAGTTCAGGACTCTGTACTGACTAGCCAGAGCAAAGTCACCTCACCCACTGTCCCCAGCCCTACCCACTTTGTACATCCCCCTCCCCACTTTCTACCTTTTGCTCTGGTTGCAGAAAGCAAAGTAGCATCACTATTGCTTCTGGAAGACTTCCCCTATAGGACTCCAGTGGACCAAACCTCCCTTCTCTGGCCACCACTTCCTTATGGGGCTTCTCTCCTCCATTAGAATGTAAGTTCCTTGAGGGCAGAAACTGTCTCACTTTTGTATTTTCAGTGCTTGGCATATAGTAGGAGCTGAATAAACATTTTTTTTCAATCATTCTTTCAATTCTAAAGCTACATTAATTCATTGCTCCTATCCAAGCCAACATTTTGGAAAGCCTTGGCTTCCTCTCCAGCCACACCATTTTCATTCCACACTTTCCATCTCTTCTTTGGTGTATTCTAATTTCCCTTAAATTGTGCAATTTAATCTAGGCAGAGAAGGAAGCAAACAGTGAATGATTTATGGCTAAGAGAGCTTGAATTACCACATTTACTAATGAGTTTCTTGTTCCCAATGATCTCTATGCAAAGCAGATTTACAGAACAACATACATCATAGAAAGTTAACAGAGGAAAGGACTTTTAAAGGCCCTCTAGTCCCCAGAGGTCCAGTTCGGGCAGGTGGAGTGCATTTATTAAGCACCTACTGCATTCCAGGCATGATGCTAGGCACTGGGGATACAAGGACAAAAGTGAAATCGTCCCTGCCCTCAGGGAGCTTATATTCTATCCGGGAGATAAACATATACATATGTAGGCATATATGAAATAAAAAATTTTGGGGGGGAAGGGAGGCATAATTAGCTAGGAAGACTAGGAAAAATCTCATGTAAGGGCTCGAATTGTGGCCATGTGAGTGGAAAGAAAGGGGTAGATGTGAGAGATATTGTGGAGGTAAAAACAAGATTTGGCAGTGTAAGAATAAGAGCTGACATTTATATAGCTCTTACTATGTGGCAGGCACATAGCTAAACACTTTACTCTTATTATATCATTTGATCCTTACAACAACCCTGGGAGGTGCTATTATTAATCCCATTTTATAGCTGGGGAAACTGAGGCAGAGGTTAATTGACTTACCCAGGGTCACACAGTTGGTAGATGTCTGAACTCAGGTCTTTTTGAACTCAGATCTTCCTGACTCCAAGCCTGGCACTTTACCCACTGTACCATGTATCAGCCCTTCTTGGGTATGTGGGGTGAGAGTGAAGTGTCAAGGATGACAGGCAGGTTGTGGACCTGGGTGATAAGAACATGACCCCGTGGACAAGCACCTGGAGGGTACTGAGGTCCTGGAGTCAGAACAACTCAGAACAACAAACCTGGCCCCGGACACTCACTTGTTGTGTGACTCTGGGCAAATCCAATCATTTCACCTCTGTCTGCCTCAGTTTCTTCACCTGTAAAATGGGGATAATAATGGCACCCGTCTTTCAGGGTTGTTGTGAAGATCAAATAGGAACATATTTGTAAAAAGTGCTTAGCACATAGTAGGCACTATATAAATGTTAGCTATCATTCTTGTGATTATTATTATTATTATTCTCGAGAGAAAAAGGGAAATCTGAAACAGTGTTTTGGTAAAAGATAATGAGTTTTGTTTTGGACATGCCGACTAGATGTCTACTTTGAAATAGTCTGCAGGCAGTTAGTGATGAAAGATACAGGAGGGACAGCTAGGTGGTGTAGTGGAGAGAACAACCAGGCCTGGAGTCAGGAGGACCCGAGTTCAGATCCGGCCTCAGATAGTGACCAGCAGTGTGACCCTGGGCAAGTCACTTAACCCCAACTGCCTCCAAAAAAACTAGAGGACAGGAGAGAGACATAGATTTCTGAGTCACTGACATAGAGAGAATTTAACACATGCGACTTTATGAAATCACCAAGAGAATACAGAAAGAAGAAGAAAAGGAGCCCAGGACAGAGCCTTGGGCATACCCACAGCTGAGGATGATGATCTAGGTAAGGTGACTGAGAAGGCACAGTCAGAGAGGTAGAAGGAGAAGCCAGAGAGAGAAAAGGGTCCTAAAATCCCAGGGATGGGACAGAAGCCGAGGAGACAGGATTTTCAACCCTGTCAAACACTGCAGAGAGACCCAACAGGGTGAAGACCGAGGAAAGGCCATCACATCTGGTACTTCTGGGGTCACTGGAGAGCAGTTTCAATGGAATGGAGAAGTCAGAAGACAGTGGGAGGAAATGAAGGGAAAACGTCAATTGCAGATGGCCTTCTCTAGGTGTTTAGCCACAAAGGGGAGAAGAGGTATGGGATGGTAACCAGCAGAGGCAAATGGACCAAGGCAGGGACTTTTCAATTTTTTAGGATGGGGGAGACATGGGTACGTGCACAGGCAGTTGGGAGGCAGCCAGCAAGGAGACAGGGAGAGAATGGAGAATCTGCTGGAGAAGATGGGATGGAGTGAGCTCACTGGGGCAGGCGAAGGGCTTAGTCTTAGAAAGGAGAAGGACCACATCATCCCTCCTTAGAAGGTGAAGTGGGAGAGAGTGGAGGAAAGCACCTGACTGACAGAAGATGAGGAGGAGGGGGAGGGGAGAAGAAGCTGCTTTTGGTGAATGGTCTCAGTCTTCTCAGTGATATGGGAGGCAAGGTTCTTAGTTGACAGCATCTAGGGAGGCTGAGTTAATGAGGGAGGTGTAAAAGAATTATCTTGCAGCAGTGAGGGCCCAAGTGAGATTTTGTAACATGAATGATGTAACATAAAATAGCCTCCACCTGACAGAGAGGACCAAATGGATAATACGTAAATAAAGTGCTGAATAAATTCTAGCTATTATCATCGTTATGGACAGCTCTATTTCTTCTTGGTAGCAATCATTCTTTTCAAGGGCTCATTATGTTGAAGCACATTGAAATAAATATTTCTCCAGTCTAAAGTCCCTTCCAGACTAACCTGAATGAAATCTTATCAATTCTTAGTCAGATTTCTAGGAAACAATTTCTTTTATTAAAAATCTCCCCCTCTCTGGGGCAGCTAAGCGGTGCAGTGGATAGAGCACCAGCCCTGGAGTCAGGAGGACCTGAGTTCAAATCCCACCTCAGACACATAATACTTCCTAGCTGTGTGACTCTGGGCAAGTCACTTAACTCCAAGTGCCTCACTTAAAAAAAAAAAGCCCCCTCTCCCTCCAGTGGATAGAGGGCTGGGGCTGAAGGACTCATTTTCCTGAATTCAAATCCAGTCTCAGATATATACTAGCTGTGTGACCCTGGGCAAGTCACTTCACCCTGTTTGCCTTAGTTTTCTCATCTGTAAAATGAGCTGGAGAAAGAAATGGCAAATCTATCCTGGTATCTTTGCCAAGAAAACCCCAAAAGGGGTCATGAAGAGTCAGACATGCCTGAAAAACAACTAAACAACAACCATTTTTCTATTAGGAGAGTCTGTAAAAGGGTGGTAACCAGACTTAGATAAGAAATACCTTAATCTAGTGAAGTTCATTGCCTACCTCACCAACATCAGCTGTGTGGCAAGGCCAGTAATAGGAAGTCATGAATTCAAATCCCACTTCAAAACCCACTAGGTGTGTTACCTTCAGAAAATCATTTAGCCTCCTTCAGACTCAGTTTCCCCATCTGTAAAATGGTAATGATGATGATGATGATTATAGAATCTACTTCAGAGGATCTTTCATATATATGTATATATATATATATGTAAATGCTAGCTATATTATTAACCGTATAGTTTAGGAAATTATTCTTTAGGCTTTGCTTACATTTTTGACTTGCTCTGTTTAAGGAAAGCAAAATTCTGACCCCCTGCTCAAATCTTGACTGTGAAATCTTCTTTCAGGAATGCTATAAATGGTAACTTTGAAATAGCTTATATTACAGAGATTTCCAAGGGCATGAAGGGACCCTGCATTTTGAATTTTAAGCAAAAAAAAAAAAGGCTTAGATTGGACTAGTTATAACCAGTAAATGTGTTTCTGGCAGGCTTGTGCCCAGAACGTAGAGAGGTCCATTTCCCCCCACCAGGGTAAATAAATGGCTTTTGATTACTCCCCGGTACGCGTCTGCACTCCTGCATGACTGGGAAGAGCAAATCCAGCTCCGCTTCTTGGAGGCCATGGTGGGGGAGCGACAAGGCAGAAGACCACGGGATACAGCGTCAAGCACATGCAATTCACCAACAGGCTGCTTCTGTGTGCCAGCCCAAGCCGCAAGGTGGTCCAGGGGTAGAGCACCCTGCACCCGACGTCCTGCCTCAGACATTTCCTAGCTGGGTAGCCCTGGGCACGCTGGCCTCAGTTTCCCGCACTGTAAAACGTAACAGCTCCGCTTCCCGGGGACGATGCGATGAGGTCACATTTGAACGCCGGGCTATTACATAAAGGCTACCCTTCGTATTGGCTCTAAGAGGCTGGGGTTCTCGACAGAAGCAGCAGCGACCGCCCCTCCCCGCCACTGGCTCCTCCGGATGGAAAAAGGGGAATGGGAGAGAAACCCCCGCGGAGGCCGGCCCCGGCGGGGAGCCCAGCCTCGGACGTGGCAGGCGGGCTGCAGGGGCGGGGCAGTGTCAGTTACCAGGGCCACGCGCCTGCCAGGCTCCCGGGGCTCAGCAGCGCGATCCCCCCTCCCTCCCCGGGGGCTCGAGCTTCTCTCCCCGCCTTCTTCTCCCACCTATCAGGCTTCCCGCGCTCGGCCCGTCCCCGCCGCTGATTGGCCGGCAGGCGCGGAGGGGGCGGGCCCCCGAGCGGCTCGCGGAGCTGGCGGCGTCGCTAGCTCAGTCTCTCCGGGTCTCCGCCTGGGGTGGGTGGAAGGGTGTGAAGGGCCAGGCGCGGGGCGCGAAGATGCCCCAGGACGGCGTTGCCGGCGGCGCTCCTGGGCAGGGGAAGGGAGCCCTGGCTGCCGCCGCCGCCGCTGCCGCCTCTGTCGCCTCTGTCGCCTCTGCCGCCGGAGTGGTCGGGCTCGGTGGCGGGGCGCTCCTGCCGAGCCCCGCGTTGGTGGCCTCCGTAACTGCGCCCGTCCCGGACCCGCTAAGGCGGTGAGCGCGTCCTCTGGGGAATCTGCGGCCCGGCGGCGAGTGCGCATGCTCCCTGGGGGTGTGTGGTCCCGGAGGGAGGCAGAGAGGGGGGGCCGACGCGGGTGGGGGAGGGCGCAGGGGCGGATCCGGGCTCTGTGATTGGTTGCGAGAAGGCAATAACAGTGACAGCTGGTTTTTGTCTGTATAGCGTTTTCTCTACCTGGTCCATTTCACTTTCTGCTCCCCTGCTGGGGGCTCGCCGCTAGCCAGTGCCCGAAGGGGCCGCAGCGCTGCCCTTAAGAGTCCTGGGCCTGCCTCCAGTTCTCGGCCCTGTCTGCCTCTTTCTCCAGGGTGACCTTGGGCAGGTCACTTAGGGCTAGCTAGGGGGTGCAGTGGGTACACTGCTGCACCTGCAACCCAGAAAACCCGAATTCAAATCCGGCTTCTGTCCCTTACTAGCCGCCTGCCTCTGGGCAAGTCACTTAACCGCTGTCTGCCTCAGTTTCCTCAACTGTAAACAACTGTGAGGCAAAAATGAAATGATATTTATAAAGCATTCTGCAAACCTTAAAGTGCTATCCAAATGCTAGTTATTATCATTATCATTATTATTATCTTCCCCCTTCTGGATCTCAGTATTTGCGCTCTAAGGTTCTCTTTTCTGGGATCCTCTGTGAGCGGGGAGGTTGGGAGAGCTTGATCTTCCTGATTTCAGGACCAGCACTTTGCCCCTTGGGCCACAGGCTGCCCCTCAGGATGCCACCTCTCCCTCAGGGCCCACTTATTAATATGAGACTTCCCCAGGCCTTAAGAGAGAGCATCTACTCCAGGGATCGTTCACGTTTTCTGTGTCTCGGCCCCCTTTGACTGTCTAGTGAAGCTAGTGTCTCCTTCTGTGTTTTTAAATCATTGTATATGTGTAATAGCAATTTAAAATGCTGTTTTTAAATAATTGAAAAAATGCTAAATTTCAGTTAGGGGCTGGTGAAAATAAAAATGCATTCATGTTCATGGACCACAGATAGTGGACCTTAGGATCAGAGCCCTGTGATATTTCAGTGTAACTTCATTATACATATGAGGAAACTGGCGACCAACCAAATAGTGTAAGAGACTTTCACATAGTCTCTGAGGAAGTGAAGACATTAGGTCTTTTTTGGAATTGGAAGGGGAAAATCTAGTCAAAACCCTTCAACCCACAGGTGAGAAAAAGGCCCAGACAGGGGAGAGTTAGGTAGCTCATAAGAGGGAAAAGCAAGACTTGAATTGAAGTGTAATGATGTCCAGTCCAGTCCTTTTTCTTTTTTAAATAACATCTGTCTGCTTCCCTGTGTGCATAAATGCTAGGATAAGGTGATTTAAAAACAGAAAGAAGATGAAATCTGGTGGAGGCCCTTTGATTTGTGCCTTTAGTGTATATAGAGAGAGGATAGGATTTCTAACTGGAGGGGACCTTCCAAATAGTCCAGTCCCACGATCTCATTTCAAGGTCGGATAGGTGGGAGTCAAACTTGGGTTCTTTGACTCCAAACTCCCACCTCACCCCCTAGACCAGAAAGATTTGTTCTTCTTATAGGCATTATAAACTATCCTTTTTTGTGCTTGCAGATGTCCTTCTATTCATCAGTTAAGGACCATTCACGGAGAGCCTAACTCTGTGCAGACCACTGTGTAAGGGTCTTCTCTCTGTCTCCTTGGAGGCATTGCTTCAACGCAGGAGGAACATCCCATCTCCCACAAATTTAGCTTAGAGCAGTTGCCTTTCCCTGCTCCTTCCAGGTCATTAGGAATGAGTTGAAAACATTTTAAGGCTGTATTTGTGGCTTAAGAGAGACCTAGGAAGTCCTCTGATAAGACCTTATTCTTTTTATATAAATAATTTTTTTCTGGTGGTGATGCAATACATGCTATAGATTTCTGGAGTAGGTTCTACAGGGGGAAGACTGAGAGTGAGGGGAGCAAACTAGCCAACAGCCCCAGTCCTGAAGCTCCGGGCTCCTGTGGACGCCCATGGGCTGGGCTTGAGGGCGTGCTGCCAATGGCCTTGATGCAGTTATTTCTCTGTGGCCTAATAGGACTGCGTGATTCATTTCCCTGGCTTGGCTGTATCACAAGTAACACGGAAACCCAACTAACTGGATTCCCATCCCGTAGAATGGGTACAACACAGTGTACAAGAGTATGGACTGTTCTCCTTAGCAGAGACAGCTCCTCATTTTTGGGGGGGGTTAGGCCGTGGGGTTAAGTGACTTGCCCAGGGTCACACAACTAGTAGACAGGTCCTCATTTCATGACCCTTCTCTCTGACTTTTTTAAAAAATCCTGGTTTTCTAATCCTGACAGAGTTTTAGTGTATAGAAATAGAGATTTCCTTCTTTGTGCCATTAAACATTAAACTGAATGGTTTATGGGCCAAATGACATAGAACTTTCCCAACATATATGGGGTTTTAGGTAGTAGGATGTCATATGTGTTTTGTAATATCAATATATTTTTTGATAATATGACCTGTTTCTTGGTCTCTTTCTAAGTCCTAAGACTGGAGATGTTGTTATGTTTTGCTTTGCCTCTAACCCAGTGCCAATGGATTTGTTTTGCTTTCTTATCCCATAAGAGGGGAGATGAGGAGAAATAGGTTGTGTCCCTCAGATAACATTTTTGGCTAATTATGGCATTGCCAGAATTAGTTGTTTTTTATGGATTGCCCCATTGTACTGTTTATACCAGTTTGCCCTGTAGAGGTACAGTAGGGTTAGGAGAAGAGGATATGGCTATGTAAATATAGTTGTGTTTTGTTTTATACAATAAATAGGTTTATGAAAAATGTCATTTAATTGGTCATATTTATAGAACATCAGTGGAATTTCTAGTTAAAGGAAGTCTGTTTGGAATCCTTTTGTTAAACCAGTAGCCCCTTTTGATTCATCCTTTGTTCCATGGCCGGCTGGCTTGGCATCGAGATGATGGCTAATTTGGGGATGATAGCAGTTCTTAAGTCCTAGAGAAGTTCCAGTTGGCCTGTGTGAATGGAGCATGACACTGACAAAGAGATACCTGTTTGAAGGATTGAAAGCTGAGAACACCAAATCCTGGTCTTTGTTACACTGAACTTGACTTCGTTGGTGGGTTTTCTTGAACAAGGATGCCTGTAGTGAGTAACCCTATCCTATTTAGAAGGGTTTAAATTGGAGCAGAACTTTAGAAGATTGCCTGGTCCATATTACCTCATGTTCAAAGATGAGGGAAGCTGAGGCTTGAATGGGTTAAGTGACTTGTCCAGGGTCTCATGGGCAGTTTCATTTATGATTCACTCAGTCACCATTAAGCACTTATTAAGGGCCAGATGAGTACCTGGCACTGGGCCAGGCTCCACTAGGACATATTCAAGTCCTGAAACAATCACAGGGAATGAGGAGGTCACATAGAACTACGTACAGAGCAGCTAGAGTGGCAGCAGGATGGCTTAGTGGGCGTCAGGAAGAGCTGAGTTCAAATTGCGCTTCAGATGCTCACCAGCTGTATGATCCTGGGCAAACTCCTTCATCTAACTAACCGAACCTCAAAGTTTTCATTTGTTAAAGGAGGGTAATAACAGAGGGCATAACAGGATTATTGTTTGGGTCAAGTGAGGTAATATCTGTAAAGGGCTATGTAAATGTTGGCTTTTCTTATAAAGAAAATAAATAGATGACTACAAGATGGATAACAGGGGAGAGGCACTCGCATTGTGTGTGGGGGGAGCTATTAAGGAAAGCTTCACATGTGAGATACCTGATCTGCGTCATGAAGGAAGAAAAGGATTCTGTGAGCAGGAGGAGAGGAGGGGACAGTTGTGAGTGGGAAGTAGAGTGGTACTATATGCAAGGGACAGAGACCAGGCCAGATGGCTGGGCTGCAGAATATGGAGGGGATGGAAGGTACACTGAGCCTGAGAGATAGGATGGGGCTGCTTCGGGGAGGGTTTTCAAAGCTCCCCAGTGGAGCTGTGCTTTACGAAGGACATCTGTCGTGTGTAAGATAGACTGCAGTGGGAGAGACTTGGGGCAGGGAGATGGATCTGGAGGCTGCTGAAATAGTCTGGTTAAGAGGGAACGAAGACTGTAAGCAGAGTCAAAGACAGGAGTGAGAGATAACTGTAGAAGTAGCAGGATTTGGCAGCTTGTTGGATATGGGGGTGACGGAGACGCAGCAGTCGAGAGCGAAGCCGAGGCTGTGAACCTGGACACTAGAGGTGATCTTTGGACAGAAATAAGAAAGTTTGGAAGAGGGCTGGATGTGTGGAAAAGAGATAATGATTTGTGGTTTGCACACATTGAATTTAAGGTGTTTTGGGAGCGTCCAGTTTGAAATGTCCAGTGGTCAGTTGGTGATGTGGAACTGAATTTCACTGGAATCTGGTCCTGGAGATAGAGATGTGGGAGCCATTGGCATGGAGATCAGAATGAAGCCTGGAGCAGCTGATGTCACTGAGGGGGAAGAGAACAGGCCTAGGATAGAACCCTTAGAGCTCTGTCTGTGTGATGGATAAGAACGAGGAGGCTCTGAGAAGGGAGAAGAACTGGGACGCAGGAAAACCTAGGGAGGAGAGGGCCCCCAGCAGGAGAGCAGTGAGTAAGGATCACAGTAAGACTGTCAGAATTTGCTTTTTGGGGACTCAGGTTGAGTAGCAGTGAGAAATTGTATTTTCTTTCCCTTACAATTAACAATGGACATTTACATGGCGTATTTAGGGGCAGTTATAGGTGGTGCCATAGTGCCTAGAATGCTGAGCCTTGAGTCAAGAAGACTCGTCTCCCTGAGATCAAATCCAGCCTCAGACACTGACTAGCTGTGTGACCCTGGGCAAGTCACTTCACCCTGATGGCCTCAGTTTCCTCATCTGTAAAAAGAGCTGAAGATGGAAATGGCAAACCACTCCAGTGTCTCTGCCAAGAAAACCCCAAATGAGGTTACGAAGAATCAGACACAACTGAACAACAAACAACATTTAGACGGCACTTTAGGGTTTGCCGAGCGCGTTT